CACCTCCTGCTGCACTGTCCGTCTTTGAACATCGCCAACTGCATCCCCCCGCTCACACCCTCGAACTCGGCCCCAATCCCGCCTGTCAATTGGCATTCATCCGATTTGCTCTACACCGAGTATCTGCTCGCAGCTACCCAGACGACAAACGAAACATCGCCATGGCCACTGCCAAAGACCCGCCTCTCGACGAGGTGCAATGGCGCGCGCCGCCCATCGCCCACCACCTCCAGGGCATCCACTCCAACTCAGTCCTCTTCTACTTTGCCGAGTCGCCCTTTTTCGACCAATCCTCTAACAATGGCATCTACGTCCATCAGGCTGCCTTCAATCCGCAGATGCAGGCCAAGATGTTCACCCGTGAGCAGTTCGAAGCCGTCTTGAGCCAGATGCCCAACGGCGTTGAGTTTCGCGTTGCCCACGCACCCGCCGACATGGTGACCGGCACTGGCGTCTGGGTCATCGTCAAGCAAGAGCGTGAGAGGGGCAAGGGTGTCACGCCGATAGCTCACTACTTCCTTGTCGGCGAGAATATTTACCAAGCGCCGACCTTTGGGGATATCATGAACTCAAAGATTGTACGACTCCCTCGAGGAAACTGAAGCACCTGAGTACTGACCTTTGCCTTTCCAGGAATCCATCTCAGAGTCCCTGAGCAAAATTCTGCCCGCCGTCGATAGCGTCCGCGACTGGACACCGTCACTCGGCAACGCCTACACACAGCCAGCGCCCACCGACCTGGCACGCACGCAACCAGGAGCTCCATCGAAAGAGGGCACGCCGGCGCCAGAAACCGCCGCGCCCACGACCAAGACTACTTCGCCCTTTGCCAACAAGACGACAAAGAGCGCCCTTGACCGCCTCGCCGAGGAGTCCTTCGCCATCCACCTGCGCCACGGCGGCGACTACATCGACCAGAACCCCATCACCGGTCGCCCCGGCGAGTTCCACCTCTCATCAACTGGCCGCAAGGAGAAGGCAGCACTCTGCAGCCCCCGGCGCCGACGGCCACACCACAGCCGCTCGCCAAACCTCCGGTTCTGAACACGAAGCTAGCCGACGAGGTCAAGAAGGAGGGCAAGGCTGAGCGTAGCCCCAAGACGCCCGGTGTACCAAAGCCGAAGAGGAAGAAGAGCAAGATTGTGTCAGGTGGTGCTAGCGGCGGTACCAACACGGCGGCGACGACACCGGCGGCTTCTTGAGAGTGAACGGACGGTTGGTTCTAGATATGGTCGTGACTTTTTGCTTTCGATGATACCCCCGTCTTTGTATCACACATTACTATTAGTAGGTACATATGACAAGCACATGTTTACGCAATGCGCCTGAACTCGGGTGAGGGGCAGTGCTCGTGACACTGATCTCTCTTGTCAGCGCCTGACAGGCTGGTTGGTCGGTCCGCGCCCATGTATTGGCTTCCTCTACACGATCAGGCTGCGGCCTTTAAATACGGCCGTGTGTCTCCCAGTTGCTGCCTGACTGAAACAATCAATGTCCTACTTTCCACCGCTCGCAGCCTTGCACAAAAAGATATCTGTCATCCCCAGTTTGTGGCATTATGGACCCCGTGTCGGCCGCCGGGTTCGCCTCCTCTCTGATCACCTTCATCGACTTCTCCTACAAGTTGATACACGGCTCTGTCGACCTCTACAAGTCAGCTGCTGGGGCCACGGATGGCAACGTCCGGATCAGCAGCATTGTCGAGGATCTGAGGAAGATCACCGAGACGATCTCAACGCCCGCTCCTCCTGAGCACAATGGACCGCACTCGCGGGAGCTTAACAAACTGGCCCTTGAGTGCCAAGATATCTCCAGGGAACTTGCAGACATACTCGAGACGTTGAAGAGGCGAGATGGGAATAAAGCATGGCGCAGCCTCGAAGCGGCATGGAAGAGCATGCGCAAGTCGGACAAAGTGGCAGGGCTCGTAAACCAATTAGCCACATATCGCACGCAGCTCCTTCTGCGCATCAGTATCATCCTTAAGTGATCCAGTCCGCTCCCGCTTGAACTCACCACGCTGCTAACAGACGTATTAGTGACAATCAGACCTCAGTCAAGAAGCAGCTGTGCGAATTGCAGAAAGGGAACACAGATCACTTTGCTCAGACGATCACCCAGCTCGGCGATGTTCGTCAGGCGATCGAGAACCTGGAAAAAAAGGTCATGGGCGAGGCTGGCCATGCACTTCATCCGTCGCCTGACCTGAACCCCTCCCACGGTGCTTTGCATGAACTCTGCACCGAACTCTCTTTGATCGTCCAGAATCTCCGCGCCGTTGCTGCGAGGGCGCCGGCGGACTTGCATGTGCTGAACCGGCTGTATTTCGAGAGCCTGCATGCTCGCGAAGACCATGTCAGTGACGCAGAATTCAATACCTTTGCCTGGCTTCTCCATGAGGAAGAGGGCGATGAAGAAAGCGGCGCGGAGAGCGACGAAGAGAGGGGCGAGGAGAGCGACGAAGAGAGTATCGACTCGTATTACAGCAGTAAAACTGAAGCATCTACCGGTGAGAGCAATCATGACACTGGAGACGATACCGACAGCCCGACTCACACCACTGTGGCAAACGACGAAGCCGTTATCGACGATGACGATATCGAGGACCCCGGTCATGGCGAAGACACGGCTGGCAGTGAAGACAACGAAGATGCCGATGACTTTGCGAGCGTTCACTCCTCCATTCATGATACTCATGTGTCATGCCTTAAGGTTAGACGAAGGCTTCGGAAAAGTTTCCAAAAATGGCTTCGACTAGAGAATGGAGTATTCCACATATTTGGGAAGGCCGGCTCCGGCAAGTCAACCTTGATGAAGCGTACCTGTCAGGACCAAGCTTTGAGGAACGAACTCAACGTTTGGGCTGCCGATAGGAAGCTCGTCTTTGGCCGTTTCTTCTTCTGGCGCTCTGGACATGACTCGCAATGCTCCCTCGAGGGTTTGTATCGATCGCTGCTCTTTGAAGCTTTACGCCAATGTCCAGAGCTTACAAGGACCGCCTTCCCGCAATTTTGGACGGTGGCCAATGAAGCAAACTTCCAAATATCTGCGTGGGCGCAATCGGCTTTCCGAATTCAGGAACTGCGTCTTGCATTAAAGAATCTGATTGAACAACAATCTGGAGCAAGGACCCATCGTTTCTGCTTCTTCATCGACGGCCTGGACGAGTTTGAGGGCGACAGTTGTGACCACTGGGAGTTGGCGCAGCAGCTCCGAGCGTGGGGCAATTCACTTGATGTCAAGATTTGTGTGAGCAGTCGACCCTACCAGGAGTTCCTCGACGTATTCGACAGTAAGACGAGAATCAACATTGTCGACGCAACGAAGCTCGACATTTATCGCTTCGTCAAAAGAACGCTCGCTGAGCAGCGAACCACTTACCTCAGTCCGGACGTCCTGCGAAAAATTGCAAAACAAATATGGGATCGTGCCGACGGTGTGTTCTTGTGGGTGCGGTTGGTTGTCCGTTCAATAACGGAAGGCATACTGTATCGCTCAAGCCACAGAGCGCTCATGGACAAAGTTGAACGAGCCCCAAAAGATCTCGATGCACTCCTCGGAAAGATGTTTGATAGCATTGATTCATCTGACCGGGAGAGGTCAGACAGGATGTTCTTGTTCGCCAGCAGACAGGGTCGCGGGCACTTTCTGCTGTACTCGTGGCTTGGTGATTTGGCGGATCCCAAGTTTCCATTTGAGCAGCCGGTTTGTGAGCTGCCAATGGAAGAATATCTTGAGCGCAGGTCTACCGTTGCTGCTCAGCTGAAGCTTCTGAGCAAGGGCCTGCTCGAGATTTCAGAAGGCAGTGATGACGTTGATTTCTTCCATCAATCGGTTTCAGATTTCCTTCGGCAACCAGATATCGAGTCTGCAATGAAACACCGTCTTCAGGGTCGCCTTGATATAGCAGCCGATGGGCAGCAACTCCAACTTGCCCTCATAAAGTTTCATGTTCATACCTTAAGCCACCTGGACAGGCGAGGCGACTTTTTCGTACGGCATCTTAGGAAGTTGTTCGGGTCAGAAAAGAAGTGGGGCGCGCCTTCTACAAAGGTGTTGAGAGAGTACCACGCCATCATTCATCACTTCCAACAAAAGGACGACCTTCCTAGTATCTTTTGCATTGGCTTCGTCATCCCATATCATGTTCATGGCTTTTGTCATATGGGACCAGGTCCAGAATTCTCATTCCTACATTTTCTCGCATTTCACGCCGAATCGCAGTACGTCCTAGACTGGGTCGAGAAAAGCCCCAGCGGCCAACTGGGGAGAGAGGATTTATGTCTGCTATTCTCAGCCTGTATCGGTTTTGACAGCCAAGAATCACTCGCCAAACGTCTTTCCTTCATCGAACGTCTTTTAGGAGCCGGGGCTTCCTTCGCTGGCGGCGTGTGGTTCTGGTCTGATTTTGGGTCACAAGATGCCAACGTCCCAGGTTGGGTGGCGTTCCTCGCCGTTCTTGTCATTGACTGTATGTGGGCGCTCCTGCGTGATGAAATAACGAACCGGCCTTCGTCATTGTTTCTTGTGCTGGAGAAAGTCCTGTGCATGCAGCCCGAGCTCAACGTTCAATTCGAACACGAGCTATACATGACGAAACATAAGTACCCAGATCTAGATGATCCATGCCTAGGTCGAGCATCAATGTCACTGGAAGAGCTCATCATTATGTCTAAGCCTCCCAATATGGACGTGCTCTTGCGCGAGATTCTTCGGCAAAAGACGTGGAGTGTCCGGGGCATCGCAAAGAAATTGGGCTCATGGGTGGCTCCGTCGACAGACTTCAAATCAGAATACGCGGGTTGGATCGAAGGCATGACGCAGTCTGAAGTGAATGACTGCCGCTTTGCTCTCGCGAGGATATCAGTAGGTGCTGGATCTTCATGGCATTTTAATACGCACAAAGCGCCGTATTTTCGGGTCTTCTGAGAGGATTCCCGTCAAGATTTCCAGCCCAAGGTACATGTACCAATTTCAGATGCCAAGAAATAATCAGTCTGAGCAAACACACTTCCATAAGCAAGTCACTTGGTCCTCCTTGACGAAGGAGATGGCGACTGGCCGCTCAGTGTCTGGAACGGCTGAATTGGTGACGAAGTCAACCTGGAGCTATACCCAGCATCCGTGACAAAGCCCGTGTCTGGCTAAAGTGATATAATCTCGACTTGGGTGAGATGAGGCGTTGTTGAGAGGGTTGAGGCAACATTCCGACTTATTACACTTTATGTCTATGGAACTCGATGAACGGATTCTCGAACGCCGTAAAATCTGAGGAATCCCGAAGGATGATACATACACTAGGTCTGTCTTGCAGAAGATACCTTTTTTGTCGGTTATCGGAAGCGAGCCCATCCACTGGCATTCATAAGAAGGGACAACGACATGACGTTGTTTCCACAGCTCAATACTGCTAGACGGCTCCCCTTCATTTCATGATGATCATATCCCACACGATTGTGAAGAAGCCAATTATTGGAGACTCCAGATAGCACCAAATTTGTAGACATAATTCGCCGGTAACAGCCCGCTTAGATGACGGAAACGTACCCAACCCAGCCTCAACGCAACCATGTG